GGAAAACATGTTTGTTCGCCTTTTTGAGAAACAAACCTACACCGACTGGAATTGCGTTCTTGATAAGGACTAGGTTTCTGCATTGTCACCTTCGATGCTCAGTTTTCCATTTTCGGAAGCAAGCCCGAAGAGAAGCTTGCTCGCGATTCCACTTGCTTGCCTTGCTAGATACTGTTTTAGTACTCTTTTGATAGCACCACACGCAATGAGGCAAACCACACACTTCGCATCCAAAGATTCAATCTGCAGGCCGAGCAAGACCAGACTGTTGCGAAGGGCGTACCTGTGCGCCCTCCACATCTGCAGACGAGTGGATGTGGAGATCCATCCACCGGTTTCCCTTTCCAACCCCAAAACAGGTGTTAAAGAGATTGAACAAAAAGACCCACCCGCGTCTTTTAGGCACTGAGGGGAGCTCTCGCAAACAATCGGGCGCCTCGCAGACTAAGGGGAAAGCAGGCCAGTTGGCTGCATGTGGGCTTCCCAAAAGAAACGACCTTAGTACGTTTATAATCCAACCCGAAAGTCAGGGAAGATCAAGCTGCCTCCACGAACCAACCGATCATGAGGTGTCGAGGACAACACATGGATGCACATTTCAATCAGCACCTCCGAAACTGCCTCGTGCGTCCCCGGCCCTCCCCTCAGCGCCTCGCGCGTCCCCGAACCCTCCCGGAACCCTCCTGGAACAGAGCCCTCCTTGGAACCGTCCCCTGACCCCCCCCAGAAAGCTCCTCAGAACGGCCCCGTGCATCCCAGAACCCTCCGCAACCCTCCTTGGAACGGCCCCGTACATCTCAACCCTCCGGAACCTTACCTCAGAGCCGCCCCGCGCAACTCCGGAGCCTATCTGGGCTGAGAAGCAAAAACCAAACGCATTCTTTTGGGCTTTACCCCAAGGAGCCCAAATTGGGAGAGGCCCAAAGAGACCCTAAATGCCTGGTGCCCTTTCAGGCTTCCCTTTGAGAATGCGCCAAAGAGAAAGGTTAAGACATGCCTCCGGAAAGGTTGGGCTTGGGCTGTTGAGGGGTCTTGTTGCCCCGTGGTGTTGATACTATATTTCCCCAATCAACCAACGCTCACCAACAAGTCCAGTCTCAAGGCGGGGGCTTGTCCTTCCAAAAGTCTGAACAACCCAGCGCCGTGTCTTTACAGGAACCCTCCTCCGTTTTTGTGTTGTTTTTTGTGTGTTGTTTTCCCCCAACCAGGGTTCCACGAGGTTCTTCGAGGGCTGCGATGTGGTGCGAGCACTAAAAAGAGCACTTCCTGCTGTTGGGGATATCACCTGAGCTTATTCTTAAGGGAAACCAAAGAAAAAAACACCCGTTTTCGGGGGCCCCAAATGTAAGGGCCAAACTCGCAACGCCACAGAGCTGCACGGAGATGCGTGTCCGCCAAAGAATTCTGGATGATAACCATGACAATTCGCAGCATCCCCTGCTCAGCCTCCCTGGCTATAGCCATGGCCCATGCCAGCAACAAAAATAGGACTGCCCGGGTCCTTCAGCTCCTTCACAGTGCGAGCGCTGTAAGCTCTAAGCCTCGAGGCGACTTTTTTCGCACCCGTCTGAATCCCATGATTGTCAGGAGCTCCCCTTCTCGGGTTTCACCACCTTGCCTTGGGAGGCTCGCCTCAAAAGTATCGCATTAGGATGCGACAAGAATCGCCGAACAACGCAGCGATCCCTTTCGCTGTCTTTCAAGCGTCGCTTTCTATGGAAAGCTCCAGCGATTGCGGAGAAACTGCCGTAGTTGGCTTCTAGGGCTCTAGCGGCGTTGCAAGCCGGAGGCATTGAGAAAAGAACATGCCAATGTCCAAAAGCAGGAAAACAATCAAACCAAAGCAAACCCGTAGTACCGCAGCTCAAGATGAGTTCTAAGAAAAGCAAACCAAAGAATGCCAGTAACCCTTCAACCATGAAGTTTGGGGCAGCAAGATTCCGCCGCCCCAAATGCGGGGGGTCTTGAACATTGAACAAAAATAGGGGGGGCCTTACAAGGACAGTTGCCCACCAATTGTTTGGGGGGGAAGTCCTTTTTGAAGCGAGTCCTGAGGTTTTGAACCACCCCAAAACCACTCTGGGGTCGGGCCGGGCCTGAGATAGGTCGGCCCCCGGCCGCGACATCGCGCAGGCCCCACGAAGGGCGCGCACTCCTCACGCGGATCGTTCCAACCGCTGGACTCCGAAGCCAAAATGCCCCTGCCCCGGCCACTTCGAGGATCCCCCAGAGCGGAACTGTGGCCGTAAGTTTGCCAAAGGCCGCCTTTTCATGGGTTACATCTCCGGGTATTCCTTGCTCCCCCATGAAGACGGGGCCCTTGCCGAATTGCAAAGGTTCAAAGGAGTCGTCGTCGCCCAACGCGCGACCAGTCTTTAACATTGACTCTTTGCGTGGGACGACCCACAGGAGCTGTCTCTGCGTCAGGACAACTTTTTTCAGAAATAAGAATAAATAATACTGAATAATGAATTCATACCAGTAGAGCCGGCAGAGCCGGTGGGCGGAAGTTTCTAAAGCGAGAAAAGTGCCTATAGGAAGAGCTTGGCTGTTTTTTTGGGTTGCGCCCTTTCTTTATTCATGTCTTCCTTTCTTTCTTGATTTCCTTCTGTCTTTGTTTCTCTCTTTCTTTCTTCCTTTCTTGCTTTCATTCTTTCTTTCTTTCTTTCTTTCTTTCTTTCTTTCTTTCTTTCTTTCTTTCTTTCTTTCTTTCTCTCTCTCTCTCTTTCTTTCTTTCTTTCTTTCTTTCTTTCTTTCTTTCTTTCTTTCTTTCTTTCTTTCTTTCTTTCTCTCTCTCTCTCTCTTTCTTCTTTCTTGCTTTCTTTCTTTCTTTCTTTCTTTCTTTCTTTCTTTCTTTCTTTCTTTCTTTCTTTCTTTCTTTCTTTCTTTCTTTCTTTCTTTCTTTCTTTCTTTCTTTCTTTCTTTCTTTCTTTCTTTCTTTCTTTCTTTCTTTCTTTCTGTTTCTTTCTTTCTTTCTTTCTTTCTTTCTTTCTTTCTTTCTTTCTTTCTCTCTTTCTTTCTCTCTCTCTCTCTCTCTCTCTCTTTCTTTCTTTCTTTCTTTCTTTCTTTCTTTCTTTCTTTCTTTCTTTCTTTCTTTTTTTCTTTCTCTCTTACTTTCTCTCTTACTTTCTTACTTTCTATCTGTCTATGTATCTGCACCTGACCTTGCGAAAGTGCTGCGCCTGCCATGAAATATGCACGTGGCCGTGCGAAAGCGCTGCGCCTGCCACGAAATCTGTACCTGACCTTGCGAAAGCTCTGCGCCTGCCACGAAATCTGCGCTCGACCTTGCGAAAGTGCTGCGCCTGCCACGCGATTTACACCTTCGTCTCTGTCTTTCTCTCTCTCTTCCCATTTGATCTATCTATCCATCCATCCATCTATCACCTGACCTGGCGAAGTGCCGCGCCTGCCACGAAATCTGTACTTGACCTTGCGAACGTGCTGCGCCTGCCACGAAATCTGCACCCGACCTTGCACGGGCACAAAATGCTGCGCCTGCCACGAAATCTGCACCTTAGGCTGCCAAAGTGCTGCGCCTGCCACGCAAAATTGACCTCCGAAAACGTCTGCGCGAGCATTACAGTGGGCAACATTCCAAGCCCGTGGCGAGACCGTGGCGAGACCGCACGCTGAACAGGGGTACCCTTCGCGTGTTTCGCATGACTCTACTTTTCGCATTACGGAAGTTTTCTAACTAAACTTCCTTTGAATAATGAAATAAGGATCAATGATAATAATACTAATAATGAGAATAAACGACTGGCCAAATCTTGGCCCACATCTGGGGAACCCAGAAAATTGATCCAAGTCTAAGTAGTCTTGGAAGGCTGGGAAACCCCATGAGCTGCGCAGGCCAAACATCCAATCACCCCATGACTCAGCTGGACTTGCAAGCTCCTGGCAGGCCCAAGCCACCAAGACCAGCAGCAGCTTCTTTCCGCAGCGCATGGCTCAAAATGCCACGGCGTCTGTCCAAAGCTCCAACCCATTCATATGGCTGTGGGTCAATAGGTACCCGGTGGAAGCTGGGTAAATGGAAACATGGAGTAAAACCTGCGGTCCCCAGCTAGTTTAATCTTGACCCACATGGCCGGGGCATAGGTACCAGCTTAGAAACAACTGGAGAAAATGGATCCTTCACCCTGCTTTTGCTCGTGGTACTTGCGTGCGTGTGTGACAGTGTCAACAAATTGCTGCATCTTGCAACCGGCAGAATCTCCTCTACCTGCACATCCCAGCCTTAAGGTCTGCTCTGAGATCATGGTGATTCAGCACCCCCCCACCATCCAAGTTTGGTCGCTCAAAGAGGGTTGGCAACTTTCCACCTTCCCAGGAGCACAGGCTGTTTGTCGCTGCCACCAGCCCGGAAAAAAGGCTTGTGACAAAGAGAGATGTGATAGAGGTCCTCAGCAGGATGGCGCCGATTGCTTGCTCAAAATCCAACCTTGGCTCAAATCATCCTCAAAATGGGTTCGCGGGGCGATCGCAAGAAAAGGATTGAATCATGCCTGCTGTTTTTGTGATTGTTGACAGCAGCCCTCCCTTCAAGTCATCCGAATCCCACCAACAAGGGGACATCCTGTCAGTCACGGATGACTTTGTGCCCCTGATCGACATGCGGAAACATGAAAAAACTAGGATTCTTCTATTCAGTAGTGGAACCACTGCATATGATGACACAACCACCTCCTCCAAACAGAAGTTTCTTGTCTGGGTGCATTGTAATTTCGTGTGACTTCCCCCAGTGCGTGTCCCCCTTGCCTCTGTGATTGTAGCTATCCAGCTTGGGTGCGCAGGCTGGAATCAGTTTACATAGCAACAATTCAACCCTAAAGGGAACCTCAAGCAAGGAGCCTTGGGTGAAATCGTTTGCCCAGTGTCATGCTCCTCATCCAAGGGGACTGTCCATTCTCCTCCAAATGGAAGGGGTGCACCTCATGGGACACCTCCAATTGCTAGGGACTGGCCAAACCTCTGGAGCCGATTCGGGGCGCGACCTCAAAGAGGTGGCATCCAGCAACACCGGCTGCGGCGGCCCTTCGTCGAAGGAGTACTGCCTGGCTGATTCTGGTGATCGGAGTGGGCGAGCCGTAGAAGTTGCACGGGAAAGCGCTTGGACTAGCTTGTTCACGGTGGTTGCATGAAGAGCCTTCTTAAATAGTCTTGGGCGTCGCAAAAGGCCGTTTCAACCACCAGTTAGAGTAATCTTGAGAATGCTACTTGAAAGCCCGCCCTGCGGGAAAAAAAAAAAAAAGAAAAAATCCACCGCTTTGAGGAGCATTGCCGCGGCGTGACTAAATTGAATTTGCGCACACGCACACACGCACACACACAGACACACATCAAGGGATTCATCGAGGGTTCATGAGGCCTAAGGCTTAAGTGTGTGAATTCTGCTTTCGGGTCTGTTCTGAGGGTCTTTGGAAAGGGCCTTAGAAGGCAAAGTGCCACATCCAAACCAAAGCTATCCAAACTTGGCTGAGTTTCTCGCATTGCGGGTGGAGCAATTCAAGTCCCCGAGCACCCCACAAGAGTGCAGGCTGGATCATGACCAGCGAGTTCATGGTGTTCTCTCGAAGGATCAGCCTCGGCAACAGCACCCAGTTCGATAAGACCACGGCACGCCCACGTTTGCGGATTGCTTAACATGGAACCCCTCTTTGGGAGTTCCATGTTAATTTGCAGGGAGGACAGGGTTGAAAGATGGTCAGATTGATTTTTGTGAAGATCGCTTCGCGACTGGAAGAAACCAGAGCTAGCCTCAAATCCGAGACGCCCCAGTAACCTGAGCCTCCCACATGCGATAGTAGGCGGTCTCATCAGGGCTCGCATTGAAGGTTTGCAAGAAGTTGCTACGCCGCAAGTGATACCTGGGCTCGATCAAATTGAATTTGAACGACAGAAGTTCGAGCAGTCGTTGATCTCTGGGATTTTCTTGTGAGGCTTTGAATTCCCGGCGAGTCTCCTGAGCTGCCAGGGCTTTCATGACTCGGCTGAGACATGCCGCCAGGCGAGCCAAGCTACGCCTTCCAAGTGTACTCTGTTGGCGCCTGCCTGCCTCGTTCTGAACCTCAGCCCCAAACATGAACTGCGGGAAGATTGACATCTCGGGGCTCAGGTGGAAGCTGGATGGATCGTCCTGACAGACGCACAACCTCGAGGTGCTCGACACGTTCCACATGTTAGCAATGCGGGCTGATGCTCGCGATGAGGAGGTGTCAAATGATAGCACGTTGTCTGGCTTCCTGAGCGGATTAACCAAGAAAGAACAGTGTACGCATTGTTTCCTCAACCTAATCTGCACAGAAAGTGCATCAAGCCCAGAAACTCTCACAGACCCTTCGCCACCCGCCCCAAGCCGAAACAGCGGCGCCCGTATTCGCACTGGGACTTTTTGGGTGACCCATCTGCGGCTCCATCCTACGGCAAATGACGTGCTCTGCACTTTCAGCCAGAAGGATTGAAATTGTGGGATGCGGCGGTACCAAGGTCGCATGCCTTGTGCACGGGCTGTCGGGACCCAAGGTCTGAAAAAAGGCCCACATGTACAGCTGCTGGGCAAGTGAGTCACAATCAAGACCTGGTACCAAATGCTCAAAGCGAGCGTGGTAAAGAATCCACGGTGCTTACTCCCTGAGCTATTCTTCCTTGTGACTGTCACCAACCCAGGTTTTGACTATGCCTCGGATTTGCTCATAGACCTTCTCCTGCCTCCCCGAGGCATCGAGTTTGGGGTCTTAGCCTCACGCATGCCGCTATCGAATTGATTGAAACTTCCACAGATGAGAAAAGACGCGGTTCCATGCCCAGCTTTGCGAGTGGCTGCATCCGGACATGGGATTCCGTGTCGCAGGCTGCGACACTGGAAACCGGATGAAGGGCGTTGGAAGGCGCACGGACAGAAAGTCTTCAGTCTCTGCCCGCCCAACATGCTCCCTGATGAAAGAAAGGCCAACAAGTTGCTAAAGAGTGCCATTGAAAACACATTCGGGATTGGGGAGCAATCTGCCGCACGCTCACACATGTTCTTGGCGGCGCGCAGGCTTGGCGGTGACTGATGCAATGACGTCGAAGATGAGACACTATAAAGGACGAGGGCACCATGGTCGATAGTTCATAGGTTGGGCATCAGTGACGATGGGGATGTTGGGAAAAGATCCCAACTGAAACCGGCCTGAGGGTCTTGACCATGGCGCAAGGTCTGGAATCTTGGAAATTTGGTGGCTGGGCCTCAAACGCGGCGATGCTGCCAATCTGCTCATCGCTCCCATCTGCCTGAGGACTCAGCGAGGAAAGGCCGGCACAGCAGCCCTCTAGCTGCCCTCGCGGCACAGAACCGGAGTTGAGCAACATATCTAGCTCCCTTCTCAGGAATGCCATAGCGCTAAACACGTGCCTTTTGCTTTTTTTGGGGAAGGGTCCCAGGTTGCTTGCTGAAAACGTCGCCTCCAAGAGGCAGAAGGCCCCTTCAGGTTCCGGAGGGCTAACTGTTCAGAAGCTAACTCATTTGGCGTCCGATGTGCAGAAATTGGATTGGCGAAAAACGTGTTTTGGAGGGCCGTCCCTGGCCACGGTCAGGAATTCGTCAGGTTCTCTTTCCCGAACGCCTCAAGGGACGACCCTCCCTTCAGAAATGAGCAAGTTTGTGCCACAGGTATGAGTATGGGACCTGCTTGAACAACACTTCCACTGAGCTGAGGAGGGAAGCAAGGCTGCATCAATCAAACGAAAAAGGTCCCAAACTCTTCAGCACGGCATGTGGCGGGACAACTGTATCTTCAAACTTCAGTCTTGAACTAATGGAGAACACGAGGCACACAGCATCAGCTCAGCTGCAAACGGATGGCTCACTTCCTGGCAAGGGCAAGACAGACACAGACACAGACACACCGACACACGGACACACAGGCACACAGGCACACAGGCACGCAGGCACTCAGACACACACACACACAGAGAGAGAGAGACACCAAAGACACAAACACACAGACACACAGACACGCAGACACGCAGACACACAGGCACACAAGCACACAGGCACACAGACACACAGACATGCAGACACACAGGCACAGAGGCACACAGACACACAAACACACAGACACACAGACACACAGGCACACAGACACACAGACACACAGAGTCACACAGAGACACACAGAGATGCACAGAGACACACAGAGACACACAAAGACACACACAAAGACACACACACACACCCACGCGCGTGCGCGCACGCCCGCCCGCAAGCCCGCACGCCCGCACGCCCGCCCGCAAAGCCCGCACGCACGCACCCCTGCGCACGCCCGCACGCACTCACGCAACCGTGCGCACGCAACCGTGCGCACGCACGCATTTGACTGCAAGTGGGTGATTCAAACGACCACTAGGAAATAGATTGGCAAAGTCTCAGGATGCAAACAGCCAAAGAGGCTGGGATCGGCTACGGCTCTGCCTTCTTCAGGCGCACAACAAACACCAACCCCCTCCCACCCACCCGCCCACCCACCCCACCCAACGACCAGTGTGCATGGGCCAGCCTTACATGCTGTAGCTCTCAGCACCTACCTGGGCCGCATGCAGGGCATTTGGCAATGCCTCTGGGTGATGGACAGTTGCCGCAAAAGGAGCATGGCTGATGCCAAAGAACTGGAGCTGATGAGATGAAGCGCGCGTTCGGATTGCCATGAATTTCATCGGGAACAGCCTTCAAATTTGATGGTGGACATACAAAGTTCAATTCATACCCGAATCATTTCAGCGGAAGACCTCGGCGATTGCCAGGACTTCTTATTTTGTGAGCCATCCCTGAAGGCCACTCTTCGCGTTGCTTTCCGGCAACGCTTCTCTCAGGCCCTGACAGGCTAAAGCTGATCATCCGATTGCTCGGACGCAAGCCCTCAGTGTGCCGCTTGCTGACGGCACAGGAAACGCTTAGCTTTTGGTTACCATGGGCATAGACCGTGTCCAACAACAGGGGCTCAGGAAGGTGGAATGATACTCTCTCTCTTTACGTCCAGTTCAGCAGTTCCTTCATCCCCGTTCCCCGCGTTCGTCCCGTGTAAGCAACACCAAAGTTACGTTCACTTCAACTGGCGAGCAGCGGGTGGAGAACAGAGCTTCGGCGCCAAGCCCGTCTTGGCCGACTGCGCCTAAGGCAAAGGCGGTGGAGTCCATTGTGGCTCAACCAAACCAATAAACCCCTTTAAATCAAACATATTTGAACAGGTCCAGGATTCCCATGGAAAAACAGGGTTGCTGGAAACTCGCTCCAATGGAAGGAAAGGAAACACCCCACGGGACGTCTGGCGTAGACTACAGAGTTTCCCTTGCAACCTGAAAAGCGTACCGGCAAAAATACATGCACAACACGCAACAAGGAAATCAAACCAAACGCCTCCGCCATCAGCCTGGGGCCAGAAATGTTCCACGATGCCTGGCCCAGTCCTACAATCACGGTCAGTTTCAGCTCCGATTGATTCCGAATATGAAAGAAACCCCAAGCCAGTGAAACTTTGCCTTGCCGAGTGATGGGGAAAAAACAAAAATACACTGGACGCACTCACCCTTTTTTACCGTTCATGCTCAAGGGACCCCAAGAAGTTGAGGTACAGAGTGGGTTCGGCCCACTGCGACGCCTCCACGCCAAGAACGTAGAGCATGATGTCACTCACTACCTCGCCAGAGAGCTCAAACCGTGCGGTTGGGACGCTGAAAGTGGATACATTTTGAGGGCTCTCAAAGTTACATTTTGGGGGTGGGAAACGCCAAATGGCACTGTAGTACAAATGACGGGTGAAAGGCGAGAACCTGAGATCACACCTAGAATTGTTGCGTGCTCTCCTTGCAGGCAAAAGCCTCGCCGGCAAAAGACTTCTAACACTCCCAAAGCCTCCCTCCCAAAGCCTCCCCCCCCAAACCCTCACCCCAAACCGCTGCCATTTGCCCCATCACCCCACTCCCTCCAATCCCCCCATCAGCCCATCAGCCCATCAGCCCAGCCCATCACAGTCCCGAGGCCAGCACGGTCTCTGGCACCGGCACCTGGAAGCGCTCCATGAGCTTCAGGTACACCTCGCATGGCCCCTCCCGCTGCCCAATCGGAGAACTCACCCATCCCGCCCCTCGCCAACCACCCCCCCCGCGTTCTACCCCGGCCGCCATGCAGACCAATCATGTGGCGGCTGGGAAAGGAAGCGCCAGACGTTCCCCCACCCCGGGGGTGCTACTGAACTCCTGGTAAATACACTTGGGGGTCCCAACTTTTGGAAGCCAAGGGAGCTCCGTTCCAAAGCAGACTCGCGTCTGATACCCTCGCGTCGCATGAGGCGTGCCTGGAGCTGCTCCACATTGCCCTTCAGCAGCAAGAGCTGCACCGAGGAGGAGAGCGTCGCCCTACAGTCGGGGGCCACACGCGAAAGCATTTGCCACCGACTGCAACCGCATGGCAACGCCAAGTCCAATGCAACCAACGCGCAAGGCACACAGGGAGCAAACAAAACCGAAGCGATGGAAATCGAAAGGTCACAAAGGAAACCGAATACGAGCTGGCGGTTGCAAGGTTTCCTTCAGCGATAGATACAGTAATGTATCTGTTGCTAGACGATTTGCCTCAGCATCGATGCTTGTGAACAACACTTTGAGCCGCGCTTTGAATGGACGCAGCCCATCAACAAATCTGAGCCGCATGTTTAGCTGACATGTGTGAAGTTCACATTGTCGCAAGACATGGAAGAGTGCCGCACCTGCCATGCAAAAACATCAACTCAGGACTCAGAGCATCAAAATAGTAGCAGACTATAATTGGAAGGGGCTCAATTGGTTCTGGAATGGATGTCCTCCGGAATAGTTGTCAGAGTCAAAGGCTTTGGGGGCGGCAGTTGGGCTCAAAATGCAAAGCTCGCAAAAGGCGGCATTTGGTCAAGTGCTTTCTTGTTGTTTTCCGCAAAAACACGGTTTGCATACCTGGCATCGTCTGGAGAGGCCAATTTTAGTCAGTTTCGCTGGTTAAACTTGGGCTCTGGGATGGCCTAGGCAAACGGGCGTGTTGTCCTCAGATTCAGGGAACACGAAGAGCTGCTCAAAAGCATTTTCAGCATGCGGTTGAATCTATTTTGGAGTGTGCAAATACGCTTGCTT